ACACACACACACACACACACACACACACACACACACACACACGCGCGCGCGCGCGCGCGCGCGCGCGCGCACACACGTTCACACGGAGGTTCACTGCCGTAAAACAAAATCCACGTACAGGAGGATGGTAAGAGAGAAAAGAAGAGGGATGAAAGAGGGAAGGAGGCTGAAGAAGCGACAAGGACCGCGCGGAGGAGGAGTATATTATGTTCGCTAAAGCAATGTTACCAACTCGAGAACTGGCGAACTAGCCGACAGTAAAATCCATTTTATGTCTCCCTCGTAAAGCCAGTCAAATGAAACCCGGACTTAGTTTTCATACGTGCACCCACTGGCAGACCCGGTTTCCTGCCCGCCACGACAGCAGGTTGTAACAGACTTTTTCGAAAGTCTAGACACATCGATACCTAGATCGGACATCTCTGTCGAATCGATGGTTGGCGAGACTCTCAATCATGACGATTTCGACGAAAAGTCACTACGCGGTTTCGTAGTATACTTTCAAAAATCGAATGCGAATCATACGTTGTCTGTTTCAAAAATATCGGTCTAAAAGAAAATAATTTAAATATCAAAAAAATCAAGAAAATAAATAACATTGAGGTATGCATAAAATCATCAGGTAACTCAGCAAATACCAAGTTAGATGTAACGTACTTGTTATAGTTGTAATTTCCTAATATAACACATGTGTTATATTAGGAAATTACAACTATAACAAGTACGTTACATCTAACTTGGTATTTGCTGGCCGTTTACCATTGATTTTATGCACACCTCAATTTTATTTATTTTCTTGCTTTTTAGATATTTAAATTATTTTCTCTTAGACAGACAACGTATGATTCGCAGCAATTTTCGAAAGTATAAGTACGAAACCGTACATGTAACTTATAGTGCTTGCTGGGAAATTGACAAATTAAGAGGTCAATTATTTTTATTTGGCGCGTTGTACAATACAGCTTTTTTATTTTGTTAGACTGATACACGGGGCGGTAACTTGTAAACAAAGAGCGGTACACAAGATAGACACTAAAAAGCTTGACCAAGCAAAACATCGTCCCGACACTAAAACCTGGTCGCCTCGTAAAACACGTCCCGCAGACATGCGTCCCGAAAGAGTAGTGGCGATAAAGACCCAGTTCACATCTCAGAAGACCGACTTTGAAAGGAAGATCTTTCGTTAGAGCCACAAACCTCTTCTCAGAATCGTTTTAATCGGCTCTCTCTTTTGTTAGCCCCGATGCAACCGCGTGTCTAAAAGATTCGTTAATAAAACCCTCGCAGATCCGACTTGAGAGAAGAATGCTCGCGCGCGCGCGCACAAGAGAGAGAGAGAGAGAGAGAGAGGCAAGAGAGTAAAAGCAGTTTCGACGGAAATGCGATATTTCGCGGTCTATTATTGCGGAATTCACGACCGGCTTCGAGGAAGCTGCAGCTACAAAACCTGCCAACTGTCGAAGAGTATTCAGTAGCGGATGTGCGAGCAACAAAACGGGAGGAAAATTATTTCGAAGATAAAACAGATATCCGGATGGATATAACACGCGAGGGAAGGAACGCGAGATGAGAAAGAGAGAGAGAGAGAGAGAAAGAGAGAGAGACCGAGTTCATTGATACGCGCGCGATGGTATTACTACAGTCGTAGTCGCCCATCAATGTTACACCTATTTAACCGGTTGACGACGCCCGGAATATTATTTCCACTCGTAAAACGATCCCTCTAACGATCGACAGTTACTCCGATGCCGTTTCAGGGGCGAGACCGGGCGTTACGCTCGTTCCCCGGTCGTGTTGCAATACGCAATTCTTCCCGTCTCGCTTTAGAGCCCGCGGATTTGCGCCGGTACGCGTCGATCCGTCGTCTCGTTTTCACGAGGCTTTAACCCGTCCGCGCCTGAGTCCCTCTCTCTCTCTCTTTTTTTTTACGAGCGACCGCTTCGTCAAAGTGCCAGCCACTTTGTTAAGTACACGTATCTGTAACGGTGCGTTACGACGGAGCGCCGGTCTACTCGTGTTAAGTGGATGCGAGCTTTCAAGAAATATTCGACGACCGATCGCGAATGGCACGAGAGCCAATAGGCTGCCGCGAACGACGTGAATTTATCGTGCCACGCACAGTCCACATGCGTCGCGTATTTGCATTTACTTTATACAGTTGTTCCAACGACACGACGATCGCCGCGCATTATAAACATGGCGTTCTGCACGCATTTTAATTTCATTCCACACTCTGATCGTTACGTATTCTTCTCTAAAAAAAACTGTAATTCCATACGTTTTATTATACAGCGTTGTCATTTCTCTTTCGACGAGAAAGAGATATTAAAAGACGTATTTTGCGGTAATTGCACTTCAAATCCAAGTGTGTAAATCTGTAGTCCTTTACGCATTTATATCGCGTGTTTATATCGTGTTATATTTTTACACATTTTATCTGTGTTTTACACAGTTAAATGCATATTTTTGCAGGCTTAATTTTACAATAATATGTGTAAGAGTGTAAAAAATATGCATTTAACTGTGTAAACACAGACAAAATGTGTAAAAATTTAGACATACACACTTGGATTTGCAGTGTGCACGACTACTTTAAAGATTTTTTTTTTATAAAGCTTTATATCTAACAATAAGTTATAAATGAAAGTTTTATATCAAATTCCGTAAAGAAGTATGCATGTGAAACATTTTAAAATAATTTATTAATAATAATAATAATGACAATAATCATTATAATAATAATAAAAGGTAGTATTAAAGGAAAGAAAAAAAAAGAGGAATATAAGAGAATATATAAGTCGAAGGCATCGATTCGCAGTTCGTATTTGCATACTTTTCGAAAGACCTTTTCCTCTTGATTGACTCTAGAGTGCCTCATAAAAATATGATTTATAGCTATACCGCCTCATAATATCCTTAGCTGCGTAATCTACGTTACTTATGACCCGATGATTCGCGTATATCCGCGTTGTTACCAGTCAACGATTTCCGACTAATTCATGGCAAACCTCAGTGGGAGCTATCCTGAGGCTTATCGATCAGACGATTTGTAAATTGTAAATGACGTGCGACGTCATTTACGTATAGCGACGAGAAAGACTTTCGACCCGTCAACAGACCTTGAACACGACGGAAAGAAAGTCGTTCTGCTTCCACTGCAATGGACGTCACCGACAGATAATCAAAATCTGTCAAATACTGATCAAACACTGTTTGTGCTAAGATGTTTTTTATCATGTTATACGAGAAATAATTAATTCCAGATTAAAAATTCGTAAAAATCACAAAATTAATTCATATAACATCCAAGCTGTACTCATGCAACGCTAAGCCAAGGTCGAAAAAACACTGGCAAAAAAACGGGCTAGGTCTATATTGCTAATTGTAAATATTATAATATATATATATATATATATAATTCATATAAATTAAGTTTGCTTATTTGATTCGAGTAAAGACGCTTTGTAAAGACGGCACATTAAATCTTTTTTCAAACGTCAATTATGCGAAGGCAGTTTGTACGCCCCCACATACTCGGGGCGTACAAACTTTCCTACGGAAAGAAGCGCTTTCATCGATAAAAAGGTCATTTCCGACGGTTGATCTAAGCAGATCCCAAGACGAACAGTGACGGTGCTCGAGAAGTCGTAAACGTGGTCTAAGAAGGAGACACATTCAGGCACATAACTAAAATGGAAACAGTCGCGGCGGGTTGCGGACGAGGTGGATGGAGGTTTATCATCTGCTAGTAAGTGCTTCGCGGATTCTCACACCTCCACCCGTGCGCTACCACCCTTGACAAGAGTTTAGATGAGCAAGAGAGAGAAAGAGAGAGACAGAGAGAAACCGTAAAATTACAATGGAAGCTTGAAATATTACGCATTCACTCTACGTTAGCGTTTTATTCCAAATATTAACAAATAAGATTTTCATTTTTATAGTTTTTATCGTTAATATCTTTTACACTGCAGTTTTTCATTTTTTTAAATAGTAATTACATCTACCTTAAACTTTTGCGGGCAAAATAAACTCTACACGGAGAGAATTTTCTTTTAAAATTTACCCTGAAAATCATGTTAATTGTGAGACAATATAGTATTTAGGTAAATTTTACTGTGCACTACAATAAATTTTACTGCGAAATCTTATTGTAGTGCACAGTAAAATTTGCCTAAATACTATATTGTCCTATAATTAACAT